GCCCCCAGCCGAATCCCTTCCCTGCTGCTTCAAGGCCATGGCCACGTTCATGTTGAGGATGACGCAAGGTAAAAGATGAAGTAATTACAGTTTTGCCACCGGACGATATTAGCAACAGTTTATTCATTTTAATTCCGTTTTGCTTTATTCTAGTTGCGTTAGATTTGTATCGACATGATCTGCATGTTAGCAACAATGCTTTTCATGACACATATTTTTATATATACAGTTTAATATTAATTTAATTAATATACATGCAACTAGTTTTATAATTAAAAGCAAACATAGGTTTTATACTCCGGTGTTATATATAAAAATATTAATATAAGTAATTGCTAACATTAATATGTTTCTAATTATAACATACTTAGACTAAACATGTTCTATGTACAAAATTTGAGTTAGATGCTCACATGCTTCTCTTTTATGCCGTTAAAGTTTGAATGGATTAAATAATACACACATGTTTATAATTAAAATGTGATTAGTTTACTCATCTTTCTAAATTAAATATATAATTTGACTAATCTGAATTGGTAGTTTCATATGATTTTGGTTACTTAAAATAAATCAAGCATGTAGGCTTTTCTTTTCTTTTTATATAATAGGTAGCGTACTCGTACGTTGCTACGGGATAACTAACAATTTATACTAAAAACACACGGATCGCACGATAAGATAACAATACTGTTAAATTAAATATCAACATTAAAGTGATATTTAATTCAAAAAGTAAAGTTTATGAATTTAACACAGTCACGGAGTGCACGGCGTCGTAGGCTCACAAACTCTAGAGCTTCCAGAGATTTGGTCGAATCCAATCTAGAGCCTCGGAACCCTGCACTTTTCCTGGACGGGCTTCACTTCGGATGCGGCGGTAGCAATATCAATGATCTTCAGTTGATGGACTAAGTTGTATGAATCCCCATACAATGGCTCGGACATGTAGATTTTGTTCTCTTTATACTTGGATACACTTGTTCCACTGAAGCTTTCATTGAAATATTTAGACACGAACAGTGTCTGATCACCGATGTCCCTCACCCTGGGCCACTCCGATGTACGGTCGTGGAGGTTACACTTGTAGATCGCGTTGTTGTAGGTGAAGCTCTGTGTCTCATGGAACGTGCTCACCATAGCACCCACAATGTGTAGCTCACCGTTTGACTCCAAGTAGCTGCGGTGGCAGAACCCCGCAGGTGGCGATAGCGATTGCAGCAGCGTCGCGGTTGGAGTAGCGCCGGCGGCGTTGCTGCTACAGACGGAGATTTCTCCAGTGCAGTCGATCGCTAAGAACTTGTCTTGGCAGTGGACGATGGACCCCACGGAGAACTCCAGTTTGGTGTCGAGCAGCGTCCATGCGCTGTCGACTCCAACCCGACAGAACGCGACCTCCGTGGAGCACCCAAGCATGGCCATGGCCATGCACTCGCGGCCGGCAGCGTCAGGCGGCGCCGAGAGCACGATCTCACGGAATAACATGTCCCTCATGTCTTCTAGCTTGATGGCTCTGCCTGCAGCATCCGCGTCCCTGTAGCCGTTGGTGGGATGGAGGACCCACCGGCCGTGGACCCTAGACACGCGTTTCGATGAGGACGCCGCCATGACGTGTTCGCCTGCTGGCGGGAGCTCAACGCGGGGGCCATAGGCACCGGAGAATGGATTCAGCAGCGTCATGGACGCCGCCTCGTCCATGAGCGCTAGCCACCCACATGAGGAGCCACACGCCACCCTGCCGCGCACGTCGGGCAGCATCTTGGACAAGACCTTCTTCTCCAGGACGCAGTAGAAGCCGACGCGGTCTGAGTCGGGGTTGAACGGGAGCAGGAGGAGCGGCCCAAAGGTCACGAACGGGACAGCGGCGCGCCATAGGGAGCAAGCAGATCGGAAGGACGTCGCATCGTGGCCTGACGCGAGACGCTGCCCGATGGACTCGAGGAGATCCTCTGGCAGGCTGGACCTCCAGTCAGAGAGAGGGTGGGACCTTCTCTTGGGATTAGGAGGCTGAGCCATGGAAGATAGATGACATCAACTATGGTTCACACAAGAAACAGCAAGCGAGGGCGATGGAACACGTGAGCGTGAAACCAAATGAAAGGAGGAAAAAGTTGTCCCTTTTGCAAATGCCAAGAGGGGAAGTAAATAAATGTAGGCAGATTTAGCAAGGTTCTCAGAAATGCAAAGAGGTTCCTTTTGTCTTAATTTTCTTTCCTTCTGTGTTAATTCTCTTTTCTTTTGCTCGTTGCCTTGTATGCTGGTGCATGCAAATATGCAATGTGTATATGGATAGCACAATAATTTTCTACTTCCTATTTTACCGTGATTCCTCTATCACATGACAAGCAATATTCCATCAAGGAGAATGGCACGATCAATCAGTAATTAAGATGTCGTGGGATCATAGGCGTGGACAGACGGACGAACCAAAATAAATGTCGCACCAAAAAATATCCACACTTTGTTCTTTTTAGGTATAGGAGATATATAAAATTCTTGGCAGTTGTTTCTTTTAACGATAGTTCTGTTATCGGCGTTTCTTGCGTTCTCGTGACCGTAGCAATTAGTTCTCTTTTAGTATGTTGTTTTCTTGCTAGTTGCTCTACTTTAATGATGAAAGCTCCATAATATTGGCTAATGGCATATGCAATGATGTTTAAAATGTGCTTTTAGCAACATGGAATCATATGGACTTATCTGTCAGCAAAATCCAGGACTTACAATACAACCATGAGTGCTATATGGCTCTGGCTTTAGTTCAGTATGAAGACCTTTTCTAGCTCGTTAGTGGTTACCCGAAAGGACGCAAAAGGGGTTTGCTGAGCAGAGTATAGTGTGGCCTCTGTCCCCATGTGTATAGCCTGTGTGGAATGTGCCATTCGAAAGGGGGCTCTATATTCCCTTTGCCAATTGAAAACCTAGCGGCCCTAGCTTGTTGGATGAACTTCTGAAAGACTTCATAGTGAACCCTACCGACCTTCCTTGGTAGTGGGTCAAGAGATTAGCTACCTCGAGCGAAAGCGTAAATCAGGGCTCATGGTGAAAGTACAACCTTTGCAGAGTGTAAAATTGTTATAACAGCCATGCTCCTGGTAACGAGTGGCTTGGAAAACTCATGGAATTATGGGTTCTTATTGCTCATGTTTAATCATTATTGTCATATTGCCATTGTTTATGATTATGTAGGAACTAGAGTTTAAGCATAATTTAGCAACTCAGGTTCTAATGATAAAACTTGATCTACTAAAAGTGTTTACTGCAGTTGAGCCATATCAAACCATTTGAGCCTACATCCCCTCGTATTATGCTTGTTAAGAGGTGGTTTGCTTACACTTGCTTTACTTTTCAATTACTTGATAAAAATTCCGAATGGGTAATAGAAGGTGGAGCTTGATTAAGTTTCTGAGGAGTGCTAGGCGTATGTTACCCCTAGTCAATCGTCCCCTGTGAAGTTGGAGCCTGAAGAAAAGATTAGTAACCGTTCCGCTATACTCTGATATAAGTGGTAATTATGAGTATATTTTCGCTATATAACATTGTTTTTTATATTCTCTATTCTGTTGTTGTATGTGTGGACTTCTTGGGGACACATATGGCGAGCCTGATTTTATTCTTAAAACCGGATGTGACAAAATTATAGGTCATTCGAGTTTTTTTAAAATACATAGTTTTTACTGTATATCTAGATATAGCGAATAGGGTAAAGTACACTTTTCAACCCTCAACTCGCGCCGAAGTTCGATTTTCAACCTTCAACTATGAAACCGGTAAAGAAACACCCTCCAACTATCAAAACCGGACAAATTTGGTCATCGACTGGTTTCAAAAGCGGTTTTCTATTTTATAAAATTCCTCAAATAAAAAAACTCAAAACTACAAAGTTGTAGATCTCATTGAGAGCTACAACTTTGGTATAAAAAGTATTTTCATTTAACTCCATACAAATAATATATTAGTGCTCTAATGCGGCAAGAGCTAGTAGGCGATTATTATGGTGCTAAAATTTTATATTATTTTTTCGAGCATCTTACTGTCCTCAAATGAAAAAAAAATTAAAACTATAAAGTTGTTGATCTCATCGAGGTCTACAATTTACATATAAAAATTATTTTCATCCGACATCGTATCGAAGGGTTATGATTTTTTAAAAGTTGAGTCTTGTCACGCCACAGTATGTTTTTCAAAAGGGTTATGATAACGAATATCTAGATACTACTTAGAACAGTAAATATGATTTATAATTTATTATTTATTTAGAACCGTGAATAATTGTCGCAGCGAATGATAAATTCACAGCCCGTAGGGCGCACTCTGGAGACTCCGGCAGAACTACGAACCCGAACGTCTACAAACAACGAAGCTTCTTCGAGTTGCACTAGTTTATTTCCTAACAAATAGAAAAACAGCTCGTACAAGCTGATGAAATGCGGCATTCACAGCATTATTGTGTACAGAGGCAATGTTTTCCTTTATGTCCTTAGCTTAGTAGATGAAAATGGACGCCTGTGTTTCTGCCGTGACCGGATGTCTGTAGCCACATGGCCAACAAGGATGATGTGCTATAACAGGACGGACAACTTTGCAACCACGTACATAAGAATTATCTGCCATCAATCAAGGTCTACAAATTACCACGTCAATAGCAAACAAAATAACAGGGAAGCACCGTGACAACAGCAACAACTTGTAATAGACTCCATATCGTCCAAGTGGTCGATGATTAGACAACAGACATGATGATCGGTGCAGGTGTAGCTAGCATGACGATCAACACTCTGCCACAGCAAGCAAAAACAGAGGAAGAATTAAGCATGTAACTGATCAAAGAGATTCATTTCACCAGTAACAAAAAATCCGAGTAAACTGCTATGTCATTTTGTTGCTGTCAGCTGTTGTATTGTTCTGAAAAGAAAAAAATATATTAGTTGCAAGTTACGTACCTGTGACTTCACTTGGGCATGAGAGAAGCTAGTTTTTTTTTTTTTACAGAGGATGTAGTTAAGTTACTCTTGCGCTTCTTCGATCTCTTGGATCTTGGTTGTCCGGCTGCTGCTTGCATAAGCATAATCGCTCACCTGAATAGCCTTTCCCTTGTGGTCAATAGCACTTGCAGCAAGCGTTGTATTGATCCCACATTCTGCACTACTGCCAGTAGCAGCATTTATACTGTTTTCTTCAGAAACTTCAGCACCCTTCTCTGGGAAAACCTCTTCACTGTCATTGATTCTAAGGCTGATCCGTTTAGGGTGCTCCATGGCTTCTTCCTTCACAATCTTAAGCATCGCAGCGATGCCCGAACAGTCACTTGTATAGTACTTGGAGCACCAGAACACAACCTTTTGGATGCTCCGCAGGTTTGTGATGCCTATGGGGTGGACACTTGCTCGGCCAGTGTAGAACTTGAACTCAAGGTGTCTCAGGCATGGCATAGCACCTTGCTTGAAGGTCACCAGAGGCAGACGGCAATCAACCAAGAAACTCTCCAGCTTTGAGAACCCTCCGGCGGTGAAGGATATCGGCTCCCTTGGGAGGATTTCAAGCCTTAGTGCAAGGACCTGGAGGTTGGGCATCTGCTGCAGGAACTTGAGGTCCTCCTCCTCCAGTCTGCATATCCTGATATCCAAGGAGGAAACATCTGTCAAGTGTTCTTTGACCCACTGTGGGATATTGGTGTGTCTGCTGCTCATCTTAAGCCCTGGGACAGGTAGGGGTCCCGAGCTCGAACCGAAATGATCAAATAGCATGATGGATAGGTCTTGTCGGCGCATTACTCGTGCGGATGAAGCAATGGTACCATTCTTCCAAGCTAACCAGATAGGATGAAGTCCGTTAGGAAACTTTACCAATTGAGGACCATTCTTGTAACCAACAAGTACACTTACCGAGTTCGATAGTAGACTTCTTTCCCATGGCAGCTCTACTACCCTGGTGTTACTTAAATTCAAAGTCTTCAAATGTTGCACTTTTCCAATCTCCCGGGGTATCTCTCTGATCCTGGTGTTACTTACATTCAGGGTCTCCAAATGCCACAGTTCCCCTATTTCCATGGGTAGATCAGTCACTCCTGTGCTACTTATGTCCAGGGTCTCTAGATTCTGCAGCCTCCCAATCTCCCGTGGAAGCACAGTGATTCCACTGCAATACTTAAGACCCAGGTACCTGAGTAAAAGCAGCTTGCATATGCGCACGAGATCATCATCCCCTATGTTTATTATTTGCTCAAGATCAAGAACTCGCAGGTGTCCCAACATCTTGAAGATCCAATTATCAAAGCAAGGAAACTGGTTTTTGAAGCTGGGAACGAAATGCCATCCCTCATCAAAGATGAAAGGACCGTGTTGGCTTCGGCGAAAACAGACAATTAGAGAACGAACATGAGAAAAAGATCCGTGCTGTCTTCGCATAGAAGAATAAGTTAATGTCTCTGAATCGTATACTGAATCAGATTGATGGATAACCAGTCTACGGATCCGTTTGGCACTACCATGGTCATCAAGCCAACGGGTGACAAAATTAGCTTCTTTTGATTTGCAGACAAGGAAAGGTAGCATCAGGGGTTGTATTTGATAAAACCTTTGCCGAGTGTGATGGACCAACAACAGATTTCTTGAGACAAGCTCGTCAAAGTATGTTTCTGCTGCTTCTAGTCGAGGTACAAATCCTTCTGCCATCCATTTCCTGACCAGATCTTGCCTCTCAATACCTTGAGCCTCAGTCAATACCTTTTCTGAATGAAAATCAGGGTATGTAGTACAGTATAACAAGCAAGTCTTCAGATGAATAGGAAGGCTGTCATAAACAAGACCCAAACTGTCAGCCAGTGGTTTCAAGGATCGAATACTCAGAAACCCATCCTGTACGTGTTTTATCCAAGTGTTCCAACCGTCATAGTTTTCTTGCCGTACGCTGTCTGCTGCTTCTGCCGACAAACAATGTAGTGCAAGTGGCATACCACGACTCATGTATTCGATGTTACGGCATAGCTCATCCAGGCTAATTGCGACTATGTCCCTCGTATCATACTCTCTCTCTTTTAGTATGGCCGTCTCTGTCAGCTTGATAGCATCGTGATAATGTACGCCCGGAAGTTCATAGATAAATGCATCAGTGCAACATTTCTCAGCTACAGCTTTCATTCTAGTCGTCAATATTATTTTACTGCCCACATAATTCTCTGGAAAAGCGCTTCCAATAACTTTCCATTCTCTCAATTTCCAGATATCATCTACTATGACCAGGTACCTATGCAAATTCAGAATGAAAAGAATACTAATTAGAGAATGTGTGTGTCAAGCGCCTCAACGCCCAACGTCGCCGGACCGCGGCTACGTAACTCGTAGTCGCGCTCCATGCCTTCACCGTGAGAAGATCTCACCGGTGGCTTGAGAGAGTTTGGAAGAGAGGAGCAACTTTAGGATAATTGATCTTCCTTCCCCCTCTCCAAGTCTGTTACACGGCATATATGGCCAATGGCCCAACCAAACTCTCCTATAATTAAGGCATGCAAAAGGAAACTAGGTCCTATCTTTCTAAACTTAGCCACTGACGGTGGCACCTGCCTTGGCCGCGCGCTCCGCAGCCCTCCTGGCGTCACGACGGCGCCTATAGGTGCGCCCGTACATGACATCTCTCCCCCCCTCGACGGTCAGCTCGTCCTCGAGCTGAAACTGGGGAAATTTGTCGCGGAAGTCTGCAACATCCTCTTAAGTAGCACCAGCAGTGGACTGCCCTTTCCAGCGGATGAGCACCTGCCGAACACCCTTTGCCAGCCGGTACTGAACAGCCTGCTCCGGTTCTGGAGTCACCGCCCCATGATGAATGGGTGGGAGGGGAGGTGGTGTAGCCGGTGGTGCGCCGACGAACTTCTTGAGAAGGCCGACGTGGAAGACATCGTGCAGCTTGGCACGCGGGGGCAGCGCTAGACGAATAGCCACCTGGTTGATGCACTCGGTGACTTGGTAAGGCCCGACGAAGCGCGGCTTCAGCTTGCCCTTGGGCGCCTGGGGAAGAGAGGAAGCTGCCCGTTGGCGAAGGCACAGCAGCACCCAGTCACCCACGGCATAGGAGACCGGTCGATGCAGGCGGTCGTAGAACTTCTTCTGGACAGCCTGGGCTTGTTCCAGGCGATAGCGGACATCAGCTAGGAGCTCCTCGCGTGCAGCCATTGTCTTGGCCACCGCCGCCACCCGGGTCTCTCCAGGCTCATAAGAGCGGATGGAGGGGGGGTCCCTACCGTAGACCACCTTGAATGGAGTGTCCTTGAGCGACGATTGATACGCCGTGTTGTAGACGTACTCCGCCCATGGCAGCCATCGCAGCCACTGCCGTGGCCGATCCCCAGTGAAACACCGGAGGTACATGACGATGACTTTGTTGGCCGCCTCCGTTTGGCCATCGGACTGCGGGTGGAAGGCGGACGTCATGTGCAGCTTGGGCCCGGTGAGTCGCATCAGCTCCCGCCAGAACGTCGAGGTGAACACGGAGTCCCGGTCCGACACCATGGACTGAGGGATCCCGTGGAGGCGAACGATCTCGCTGAAGAACGCCTGGGCCACGGACTCTGCACTGTAGGGGTGAGCCAGTGGGATAAAATGGCAGTATTTGCTAAACCGGTCGACCACTGTGAGGATCACCGATTTGCCCCCAACGCGAGGCAGTGCCTCGATGAAGTCCAAGCTGACGTCGGACCACACGGCCTGGGGAACGGGCAGGGGCAGCAGCAGGCCCGCCGGGTGCAGGTGTTCAGACTTGTTGCGCTGGCACGTTGCGCAGGCGCGGATGAAGTCCTGGACCACGCGGCGCATGGCGGGGAAGTAGAAGTCCCGGCGGAGGCGATGTAGAGTCCGCTGCACCCCTTCATGTCCGTCGTCGTGCGTAGCAGCCACCACTTCGAGCAGCAGGGGGGAGTCCGGCGGGATGTAGAGCCGGTCATCATACGCCACCATGCCGTCCAGCAGCGACCACGGCGCTCCCCTAGTGCCGGCTGCTAGTTCATCCCTGAGGGCGACCAGGGCTGGTTCTTGTCGTTGAGCATGACGAAGACGGTCGACGAAGTCGAAGCGAGGCGCGGACAGTGCCAAGACCGAGCCCTCCTCGTTGGTGTCGCGCCGGGACAGCGCGTCGGCGACGGTGTTCGTGGCACCCGGCTTGTATTCCACCGAGAAGTCGAAGCCGAGGAGCTTGCCCACCCAATGGTGCTGCGGGATCGTCGAGAGGCGCTGGTCGAGGAGGAATTTGAGGCTGTAGTGGTCGGTGCGGACGAGGAACGCGCGCCCCCATAGGTACAGCCTCCAGTGGCGCACGGCGTGCACCAGCCCAATGAGCTCCCTCTCATACGCTGCCAGAGCGCGGTGGCGGGGGGCGACCGGCCTGCTGAAATAAGCGGTCGGATGGTGCTTCTGCGGCAAGACCGCCCCGAAGCCATGCGTGGACGCGTCACACTCAACGATGAAGCCCTTGGTGAAGTCGGGCAGCGCCAACACCGGGGCCGACGTCACGGCTGCCTTGAGTGCCTGGAAGGCTGCCTGGGCCGCGTCGTTCCAGGAAAAGCCCTCCTTCTTCAGCAACGAAGTGAGGGGCGCTGCAATCTTGCCGTAGTCGTGGACGAACTTGCGGTAGTATCCGGCGAGGCCCAAGAAGCCACGCATCGCGCGCGCCGAGCAATGTGCCGGCCAGTCGTGAATGGCCTGCACCTTGGCCGGGTCCATGGCCACACCGTGGGCGGAGATGATGTGGCCCAGGTATGCCATGGAAGGTGACCCAAAGATGCACTTGGATCACTTGACGAAGAGGACATGGCGGTGAAGTTTGGCGAGGACGGTGCGGATGTGCCTCAAGTGATCTGCCCAAGTCTTGCTGTAAATCAATATATCATCAAAAAAGACAAGGACGAACCGACGAAGAAATGGACGGAGCACGTCGTTCATGAGCGCCTGGAATGTTGCCGGAGCGTTGCATAACCCGAACGGCATCACCAGGAACTCATAGAAGCCGTCGTGGGTTCGAAATGCCGTCTTGTGTACATCAGCCGGCCACATCCGGACTTGGTGATAGCCAGAGCGGAGGTCCAGCTTGGTGAAGAACTGCGCACCATGCAGCTCATCAAGGAGTTCGTCGACGACAGGGATGGGGAAAGCATCCTTGACGGTGAGGGCATTAAGAGCGCTTGGTAGTCCACGCAAAACCGCCAAGCCCGCCCCGCTTCTTGACCAAAGCAATACCGGTGATGAGAACGCCGAAATCATTGCGGCGTGACGATGCCTTGGTCCAGCATGGCGGCGCATTGCCGTTCCGGCTCGTCCTTGTGCGCGCGCCGGGGTAGCGGTAGGGCGAACCGCCCAGGTGTAGAGCCGGGCTTGAGGACGATGGCGTGATCCCGTGCTTTCGCTGCGGTGGCAGCCCGCCGACTCGGCAAACACCCCTCGAAGGAGTGCGGCAGCTCCTCAAGGAGGCGTTCGGTGTCGTGGTGGCGGCGGTAGGGGTGGCCGACGATCGGCGTGACGTCCGACCAGAGAGACTGTCGGCCTTGGTGCGGGGAAGGAGAGGCGGTGCGGGCGACGAAGTCCCACACCACCCGGCCAAGGGTGACCATCCATTGAGTCCCCAAGACGAGGTCATACCCGCGGCATGACGAAGAGGTCGATGAAGAACGTCTCACCCTCGATGATGACCGGGGCGCGGCGGATGACGCCCGGGCAAGTGACGCGCTCGCCGTTGGCCACGGTGGCCGTGAGGCGCGGGCGCGGCTGGATCGGCAGGCCGGTGCGGCAGGTGGCGTCCTCGGCGATGAAATTATGTGTGGAGCCGGTGTCCAAGAGCACGACGAGGGTGGTGGCGCCCAGGGAGACCCGCACCTGCATGGAATCACAGATGGGCATACCGGCCACTGCCCTGAGTGAGAAGACAGGGGCGCCGTCCTGCTGATCGTCCCCCGCTGGTCCCTCATCGGCGGCCGTGATCTCGACGCCGTTGAGGTAGAAGATGCGGCGGCAGACACGATTGTGGCCGCGGGAGTACGGCTCATTGCAGTTGAAACAGAGGCCGAGACGGCGTCGTTCCTCCTGTTCCTCCGGGGACAGCCGCTTCAAAGGCGGGCCATCCTGTCGCGGCTGGGCCGCGCCCGCTGGTGGTGCAGGAAGGGCGAGCAACGGTTGCGTAGGCGCCGGCGCTGGCAGCAGGGCACGAGGGGCTCCCCGGGTGGCCGGTGGGGATAGCCGCGATAACTCCATCTGCTCGACCTGATGGGCGAGACTCATGGCCCCGGCGAGCATCTCTGGATTGTGGATGCGGACGGCATGGCTCAACGGGGGAAGAAGGCCGCCGGTGTAGAGTTGGACGCACTGGCCCTCCTCGAGCCGACCCGCGCGCGGCAGCAGAGCCTGGAACCTGTTGGAGTATTCCTCCACGGTCCCGGTGCGGCGACACTCCGACAACTCGAACAGGGGCGCCGAGCGGAGAGGTGGACCGAAACGAAGGTTGAGGAGGTCCTTGAATCGTCCCCATGGCGGCGTACCCTCGTCTTCCTGCAACTGGATGTACCACAGCTGCGTGACGTCCTCCAGATTGTAGGAGGCCATCCACACGCGCTCCTCCGGCATGGTGCGCTGTTGGCGAAAATAGGATTCGCATTTGTTGATGAAGAGCATCGGATCGGTCTTGCCATCAAAGCGGGGGAAGTCGAGCTTCTGGAATCGTGGGGGCCGATCCAGATCACGAGGAGGCTCCTCGCGCCCGCCACCGCCGTTGTCCAACGACGATGATGACTTGTCCTTCATGGTGGCCATGTCGGCCTTCACGGAAGACAACTCAGTCTGGAACGACTTCATCATCTCCATGAGGTCCTTGATGGTGGGTTCAGCCATGGTGGTGGAGTGGCCGGTGGAAGGAGTGGACGTGGAAGGGGGTGGTGGAGGGCTGGAGCGGGTGGGAGAGGATCTACGCGACGCCGATACCAGGTTGGCAAGCGCCTCAACGCCCAATGTCGCCGGACCGCGGCTACGTAACTCGTAGTCGCGCTCCAGGCCTTCACCGTGAGAAGATCTCACCGGTGGCTTGAGAGAGTTTGGAAGAGAGGAGCAACTTTAGGATAATTGATCTTCCTTCCCCCTCTCCAAGTCTGTTACACGGCATATATGGCCAATGGCCCAACCAAACTCTCCTATAATTAAGGCATGCAAAAGGAAACTAGGTCCTATCTTTCTAAACTTAGCCACTGACGGTGGCACCTGCCTTGGCCGCGCTCTCCGCAGCCCTCCTGGCGTCACGACGGCGCCTATAGGTGCGCCCGTACATGGCAGTGTGGATGGTTAATTTAGGGGTCAATATAAATTGCATAGCAGGTTGTTTCATGTCAGAGTATATTAGAATATCTCCAGATATGGACATATGGTAGATTAGCACCAATTGTAATCCTAGCTTGCCTTATCTCTAAGAAAAACACTTCTTATCCCCTAAGCAATGTACTTCCCACACGAGGCTCAGCATCTGTCTCCAACTAGTCTTTGTCATGTTGATCGTGTCGTCATCGGCAGCATTGAGCATTACCGCGGCCACCGTTCCTAGCATCAAGACTGCTCGCTTTCAGGCAATTAAGAGAGTCTGCTCCCATACCGCTTATTCTTCATGAAAAGCAACCTTGTCACTAGTGTCGCTATCTCTTCCCCCACCTACTTCATCTACTCCAACAATAGTGGGGTGCATGTTACCATCTACCCCTGCTGTTCTGTGCACTACTATCGTCGTGGAGGCCTCCTTTGCTAGTCCCTCAGACACCGACGCATGGTTGGGTCCCTCTCCATAGTACATATGGTATTTGAAATACTGGTACATGCCTTCGTCTTGATGCGTTGCAAGGTCTAGAAAAACCGACACATGCATTGGCTCTAGCGGCTTGACTGCATTGACTTCGGTATAGGACCTCCCACTACCTCGATTCCATCATTGTTTTTGTGTATGTCATCGACGATCCTGACAGCACCGCCACCTTCCACACGACGACCACCACGACATGTCTCCACCATCACCATGGTGCCTCTTTTTTGTTCGAGGCATCATGTGCGACCGCCTTGACATCGACAATCCGACAACCACTAGTACACAAAATATCTTTACTGATTGTATTTTTCATATTTTTGTTGGCGCTTTGACCAACTATCAGTGTGAAAGGGCAATAAAAATCAGAAAACTTTACAGACGTCACCTAAAAACCGCCACTGTAAATATATACACCGGCGGTTTTGTTAAGGAAACTACCACTATAAATCGATTTACACCGGCAATTTTCTTATGGAAACCCCCAGTGTAAATAATTTTTCAAAAATTGCAAATCAGGCTTCAAAATAGTGAACCACCACCGGAAATCTAAACCGCCAGTGTAAATGATTTTTCAAAAATTACAAATCAGGCTTAAAATAGCAAAAAGAAATTATCCAGAGAAGCTGCACTAGGCCTCACATCTTACAACCCTTACCACTGTACCTCAAAATTACTTGCGACTTAATAGCAGAAATATTCTCTTAGTATTCACTCTACCAGATTTTGAAATGGAGATTTGAGGCCCTAAATGAATTCAAATGAAAAAAGTTTAAACTATAAAGTTTTAGATCTCATTGAGATCAACAACTTTTCTTTCTATCGTTTTTTCCATATGAGATAATTTGAAAAATTCAAAACATATGAATTTTAATAGCATTAATCTTAGAACATAATTTTTTAGCCCTAAATGATTTCAAATAAAAAAGTAGTTAACTACTTTGTTTAACTATCAACTTTTGTCCATCTGAGATCATTTGAAAATTTGAAAAAACTTAATTTGAAATTATTTATAGTGGCGCTAGGTTAAGAAAACCACCACAATATAGGAGTTCTTCATAGAATTTGAACCCACTCCACTATTCAATTGTGAGTAAATATAGGATGTTATTCTTTTATATTAACATTTTATAATCTTATATTCGATATTATGATTGCTAAATGATCTCAACAAAAAAGTTTTAACAACAAAGTTTCAAATCTTGTTAAGTACTACAACTCTGTTACACTCTGAGAACTTAAGTTATATATTTGAGACTCTTAATGACCTCAAATTTAAAACTTGACAACTATTAAGTTATAGATCACATCAACCATCAATTTCCTACGGGCCAAGTCAATACTTGAGGTCATTTGGGAATTTAAAAAAAAATCAAAATATAAGAATTTCAAACATATATTTGGGACTTTAAACAACTTTAAATAGAAAACTTGTCAACATCGAAGTTGTATAACACATTGAGAACTAAAACTTTGATATAGACCATGTCAACATTCAATATCATTCAAAAATTCTAAAATAAATTTCAGATTCTAAAAATTTAAACAAAATTTTTGGACTTTTAAACAATTTCAAGCCAAAACCATGTCAACTGCAAAGTTATAGATCGTGTCGGTCTCTACACTTTTGATATAAAGTTCTAGAGGGCGGCCCTTTAAAACTGCAGCCTCTATTAATCAATTCTTCGAGAGGCGGCACTATTATAATGCCCGCCTCTGTTAATAGCCATTTTAATAGAGGCGGGCATCCTAAGATTCTGTTAACATATGAGGTCTTCTTAAAATGTCTACCTCTGTAGATGATTAACAAAGGCCCATTTACTCAAGCCCTAGCCCGAGCATTAAAGCTTATTAATCAGGGTCCTGCCTCCTAAAATTCTTTTTGAGCTACAAAGATTGTCATGGTGAACCAATTAATCTTTCAGAGAACGAAGAAGATGAACAAACACAACGATGCTATGAGCATACAAGTTTCATATCTGGACCTGCTGGATCAATTAGAGGAAGCTCAAGGAGAAGCAATGATCCAAAACTAGTTGAGAATAGTATTCACTAATAATATACCTAGCAATTTGAAGGGAATTGTTGTGACAGATTAGGTAATTAAAGTTACATGCCTCTGATTTTTTGAGGATGCAATGGATCAGAAAAAATTTACAGGTTACGGATCAAGGCTCCGTCCTTCCGTCGCACTTGTCTAAGAAGGAAAATTATAAGCATGGAACCATCATATGTTCTGAATTAATCTAATAACTCTCAAGCTTTTTTGGGGAAACCATACAAATGCAACAATGTATAATGTAATCTGGCAATGGTAGATTTTGGGAACAGACATTTGAAATGTAGAGTAGATAATATAAGTTTTCATACCTCTTTTTAGCAAGGACACTTGATATCTGTTCGATGAGATATTGTTCAGTCGCTACTTCAGTGCCATGAGATGGTACAGTACTAGTAGTATCAGTTACTTGTCTGAGGATATCATTCAGAAAATCCATGGTGCTGGAACTGGAACTTGGAGAGAACGATGCAAAGGCCCGGCACTGGAATTGCTCTCCTATCGCTTGGTACACCAGGTCGGCCAGAGTGGTCTTGCCCATCCCTGCAAACCCAACAATCCATACCATCCGGAGCTTCTGCGAAACTGAACCCTCCATGTCGTCATCTCCTGCCAGCAACTCCATGACTTTAGCTTTCTGTCTGTTCATCCCCACGAGCTCTGACGCATCCTTGTGGAGGAAGCGAGCTCGAGGGTCGACGACTGTCGGCATCTTGTTGGCTTCAGGTGTCTCCAGCCTCTCGCTGCACCGCCTCTTCACTTCCTTGAGCTTCATCTTGATGTCCCGGAACAGATTTAGAAATTTGAGATCTGGGGCGATGGGATTTTTCGCTGTTGCCTGCGGCTGAGTGATGCCGCGGTTTTCGTCGCCGCGCTTGAGATCCAGCAGGTAGTCCTCGACTGCGTCTTCGATGTCGTAGAACAGCTCCCGCGCCTCGCCCATCCAGTCCTTGCTCGCCGCACCGGGATCCTCTGCCTCCGGCAGCCTCATGAGGAGCGGGTACACCGCCTCGAGCTCGGATTTGATGGACAAGATCTCGCTCGTCTCTCGTCTCCCATCCAGGATGCTGTTCCCGTCGACAAGCAGAGCTCTGAGCTTCGCTAGGACCGGACCCAGGGCCCCGGTGGCTGCAGTCACGGCAGCGGCGGCCCCTTCCATAGCCTCCCAGCTGATCTGTGACTGTGAGCTGAGCTCTCTCTCGCTCAGTCTCTGTGGAGTGTGGATTGTAGTGGACTAGTGGTTGCTGGACTACCGTCGCCGTCGCCGCCTCTGACTCTGAATCAACAACAACCAGGTCGTCGGCGGCTCCGACAAAGTAACCCAGTTGTCTGTGTGATGTGATGCGCCATGGCCCATGGGAAATAACCCGACAATGGCCCGTGGCCGTGGGTGTGAACATGTGGCTGCCAAACTTTTAAAAATGCTCTTCTCTCACCCAAAAAAAAGGAAAAGAAAAAAGAGAGAGCAGAGAAACTTCCTTTGTTTAGCGTCCTTAGATAAAAAGATTTCTGGAAATCAAAATTTTTAAACTTTAACTGAATTTCTAGAAAAAATCGTCAAAATTCATGACATCGGATTAGTATCGTTAGACATATCATAGAATATATTTTTATAATGCTCTTATTTTATTTCATAGATGTTGTTACTTTTTTCTATAAAGTTAGTTAAATTTAAGATAGTTTGTATTGGACGGATTCTATGAATTTATTTATTTGGACACGACAGAACTACATGTTATAATGACTCTTTAGTGTTCCCAGACGAGATTATATATAATTACTCTCACTACATGTTATACGGTATCGACATATGTGCCAAGAACGCTCGGTACTGTAGACGCGACTCTTGATGAAACAATCACGCAAGCATCATTGAATGGATATAACTCGGTTGTATAAAAATTTCATATTTAGAAAAAAGTACATGTCAGGGGTATTTATAGGGGTGGAGTCTTCAATAATCTTATTACAATCGGCGATACCATTTTTACCTTAGATCAACTATTACATCTGAACCATTTGCTTCTCTATTCCGGAGGGCAATATGGTTATTACATATTTAAAATTGTACCCCTCTGTCCCTAAAGAATGAATTCCTAGCAACTTTAGGACAGATTAGCAAAGATGGTAAAAGACTATGCTGCCCCTCGTTAAACTGTTGAACCTTAATAGCCCTCGAGGTACCGAGAAGCTAATTAAGTAGTGTTATTTGGAGTATCCAATAGCAGCGTAAGAGAGTGAGGTTGTGCTAAATGCAACCCAAACTACGAGAGAGAATAATGTGGATCGGTGAACTGTTCACTTCTAAAAATCGATTCTTTTGGAAACAAAATTTTGGGCTAGAAATTGATTCTTTCAGGGACAGAGGGGGTATTTCTACTTCATTCCTCTGACTTCGTCAAGCCGAGTCTTCGAGGAGAAGACTTCACGGGCCCGACCTATGTGTGACTTAGAGCATCTCCAATAATTTCAAAAAAAAAACACTTGGTAAATTAATGAGTTTTTCAAGTGACTAAACAAACCAGGAGCATACTTATATTAGTTGTCAAAATCTCGCTCCTAAAAGATACAAGATAATTTTACATCAGCAATCTCAAACTATTTATAAATCAGACTAACCACTTTTATACTTTCTGTCTTATACCTTTGCATCGGAATCCCAATCCTACTTTTTCTCTCCATGTCCTTCCACTTCCAGATTAGTGCGATAATATGCATATATCTGCACGTGGGGATGGTTTTTCTAAGTGCCAAAATATTAGGAGGTGGGTCTGAGAGTTATTGAAGATGAGTTTTTTTTTCCAATCTTGCTAGACAATTTGGGTTCTTTTGGAGATGTTCTTAGGGCACTCCCAACCCAAAAATCACATAATTTCTATGTTCATCAATCAGGGTGTCAACTAAGTAGAAAAGATGATGTCATAGTGCAATTAAAGAAGAGAGGAGGAAATGGTTTTTCAAGGGCACTCACAATGCAGAGACTATAGTAGTTTCTATATATATTAAGCGCGCGTTTAGTTCCAAATCTTTTTCCCAAAAAGTGCTACAGTAACTATCACATCGAATCTTGCGATACGTGCATGGAGCATTAAATGTAGACGAAAAAAAACTAATTGCACCGTTTGGTTGGAAATCGCGAGACGAACGTTTTGAGCCTAATTAGTCCATGATTGAACACTAATTGCTAAATAAAAACGAAAGTGCTACAGTAGCCAAATTCCAACTTTCCCCCTAACTAAACAAGGGCTAATTGCACTGCCACATAGGCAATTTGCTAATGTGACAAGTGATTTAATGAGGAGAGAAAAAAAAATCCAAGAAATCAAGTCAAACTAAGAAATTTGGCCTTTATAGTTACCGATGGACAAGAAACTACTCGTAACTGCGTTGAGAGAGTAAACATGGTTTCTATCACTATTTATGTTGTATATTATAAAAAATCTTACACTAAAAAAGAATAGTTTATTGGCATAATATCTTATTGTAGTATCACTACGTGTCCCAGTGCATCTGTGCATGTGTCTATGCGAGTCACAAAATAATGACCAACACATGTGAGCGCGTGCTGGCCGAGCGGACGCCTGGCGAGCACCACACACGTCTGATCGTGGCCCCACAAAAGGTAGTGCGGAAACGATGCTGCCGTGCTCAACGCAAAAATCACAGTTTCTTTGCGCGTTGGAGGTTGTGACGACTCAGGTTTCGTGCAGGACAAAACGCTTTCTCCTATTTCTACTCTCTTTCTACATTGGGTTTTTTGATTGCTAATCATCTTATTTTTGTATGGACAAAACTACCCCTTCCACCTTACTCTCTCTATGTCACTGACGTGTGGACCCCACCAATCATCTTCTTCCTCCTTCCCCTGTCTTCTTCTCCATGAAAGCTTCTTTCCCAACTCCCATGGCGACCAAGTGGGCGCCGGCCGCCGTCGTGCCCCTTGGCCATGGCGGGACAGAGCTCCCGCTCGAGCTCCCTAGCAGCCATGGCAGACAGAGCTCCCACGCGGCCATGGCGCACGCCATGGCGGGCAGAGCTGGCGGGCCAGAGCTCCTCCGCCTAGAGCAGCAGTAGCAGTAGCCCTAGCGGCAAAGCTCCAACCGTCGGAGCGTCGGCTCCGTGGACGAGGATGATGGCGCGCCCGCCTCCGGCCACCGCGAGAAGAAGCTCCGCCTCGTCAAGTCATCATGGGCCTCCACGAGCTGCTACTGCTTGGCCATTCCTGGTGGCGCCAGCGGAGCTCGAGGCGCGGGAGCTTCGGCCCACCATAGCTGCGCACGAGCTCGGCCCACCATAGCCGCGCACCAGCTCCGCCTGCCATGGTCGTACCGAAGCTCGAGGCGGAGGAGCTCCGACCCGCCATGGCCATGCTGGCGCGCAGCAGCCGCGACCACGTGGCCACGCAGGCGAGGAGTAGCCTCCTCCTCCAATTTCCCCCATCCCTCCACTCCTCCCGTCGAGCTCACCGCCAATGGCAGCTCGCGCCTACACCCCTTCGATGCGCCCATCAGGAACAGAAGATGGGAAGAGGAGGCGAAATCCGAGTCCCCCGGTGCCCACTCTGCGAAATCTAGTGCACCCCCGTCGCCCTGCTGCTGCTCGCCCGTGTGGGAGAGATCCATCAGCAAGAGAAGATGGGAAGAGGAGGAGGCTGGAGGTTGAAGAAGAAGGTCAGCGAGGGGAAGGAGAGAAGCAGCAGGGCTATTTTGGGCTATACGAAAATACATTGTCCTTTAGTCACCTGTGCGTGGGCCCAATGCTGCTGAATACGTAGAAAATGGCATCATTCAAGTTTAAAAAACTTTATAATGGCAAGTTTGTGAATAGTAATGATATATCTCAGAAGTTTAAAATTGTAATGGCGTAGATAAAAAAACCCTTCCATATTTATTACGTAGCCATGTCAGCATTCCTTGGTCCACGTTGGGAATAGCCCAAGGGCAGCTCTAACAATTGACTTTTGAGCTATCTTTATAAGCATTTTTTTAAGAGAGAGAAAAATTATCTCTTAATCCAGAGTGAAAGGCTATTCATGTTAAAATCTACGTGCTAAAGTTAGCATTATTAAAAAAGTTACCTTTATAAGTACACAAGTGGGAGGGAAGATACGTGGACAAAAGATTATACAGTAAAAAATATAATTTTTATCCACCCAAATTAAATAGATATAGAAGTTTCTAGCAATGGACTGATCTCCACCGTGTTCGGCTGGTCTACTGTTGTCTTATTTTAGCTTGTTTTAGCTTATTTTCCATCACAAAATACTATTTAATCATCTAACTCAGCCAAAATCTACTGCTCGTTGACTTGACTACTGTGTGGTTGTCTTTTCTAGTCTTGTGAAAGATCTGAGTCTTCTTCACAAATCGGATTCAGTCATCCCCTTCCGTCCGTCACGACGACTCTATCCACAATTCCACTTCTGGAAAGCAGAGCTAGTTAGAGCTGGTAGCCGGTGGATAGTGGAGACTCACTCTCTTGTTGGTGGCAGATTGAAGCGGCCGGATCGCGTCGTGTCCACCGTGCCCGGAGAATCCGGATCTTGGTCAGGGGCAGCGTGTTAATCGGAGACGACAGGCGGCGGCGGCGGCGGCGGCGGCCGCTACGTCCGGCCGCTTCAGATTGCGGGCGCGGCGGCTTCCTCCTGGCGGGCGGACAGATGGTGCTGCACGAGCTCCGACCGTAACGGTGGGTATAGCGTGGTGTTGTCGAAATGGCGATTATTCTTCAGTTTTATGGCTTTAGGATTTTGATTAACGGTCTTGGTTCTACGATTTTCATAAATGGAATCTACTATTTTAAGATTTCGGTAGTTATAGTGCTGTGATTTCTGTGTTATGCGAGAACTCCGACCTGATACACAATTTCTTATTTTGGTGGCCTCCATCAGGCGGTGCCAGAATCAAGCAGCACTGTAGCAGGCTGACCGGAATGGCTGGAACCAGCGATAATTGTTACCCGAAAGTGGGTCTAAATAGTATTTGCTAACTGCTAAAGCAAATCCCTCTTCTAAATAGGCTGTGAGCGATAATTTCAGTACTGCTTGTTATACATTTATGTAGGTTCTAGAATTTATTGTTCATAGGAGGAATGTTGGGTACACCTGTTGCGGGTATAATATGGGCACATCCATTCTTGGGAATAATTTCAGCTGTTTGATAGTAGTATATGCATCGCCTAGGGGTAGCACCAATTGAAAAAGCGCTTGTCCAACATCGGTTGAGGTGGTTTGGCCATGTCCAAAGGAGACCTCCAGAGGCACCAGTGCATTGTGGAGTCCTAAGCCAATCTAATAATATGAGTAGAGGTAGAGGAAGACCGAAATTGACATGTGGGAAGTCAATTAAAAGAGATTTGAAAGCTTGGGATATACCTAGAGATCTATGTTTGAATAGGAGTGCTTGAAAAGCAGCTATTGAAATGCCTGAACCGTGATTTGGGACTCTTGGTGGGTTTCAACTCTATACTACCCCAACTTGCTTGGGACTGAAAGGCTATGTTGTTATTGTTGATAGTAGTATATGCATGCCAGTGAAATAAATTTTGTGGAAAACCTGTGATAACCGGTCTTTCTGAGTTCCCAGAGGTTTTTCATTTTTGAAGCAGCCACGATGGTTTGGATTTGGACGAATATTTATTAATGTTTTTAGATTTAGTTCACATTCAGTCAGATTTTGTCCAAAAATCAAGTCATGCCAGAGTAATTTCAGCACAAAACTGGTACTACATCTTCATATGTTCTAGATTGGACTAAAATTTATTGTTCACAATAATTTAAATGGGATTTGTTGGATTAATGTATAAAATTATTCCATTTGTGGTGGGAAATGGTGAGCAATACTGTTGGTGACATGTTAAGGCAGACGCTGGAGGTTTATCCCTCTTAGCTGCTATTGCTCCGGGTGGTTGGCGCCCTGTGTTTTTTTTGGTCATTTTTAGTTTCTTTCGCAGGCGCGAGTGTTTCCTAAGAGCAGCAGCAGAGAGTTGTGTGGTTTTGAATTTTTGTGCTGTCTGGGCTCTTGTCCCTTTTTTATCTTCTTAATTTAATGATGCACAGCTCTCCTGCGTTTTCGAGAAAAAAATAATGTATAGAATTGTGTTTGTACTGCATCATGTTCAGCTTGCCACATTTATCAGCCCACGGTGACCTTACTATTCTTTTTCCCTCTTTGCATCTTAACCTGTAGGTTCACCACTACTGTGCATACAATCAACGGCTGTGTCTGAACTGTCCACTCATACTACTTCGCTGCACTTGCAACAAAGGCTGATCTTTGCTTGAGAAATTATTTTTTTAGGTAATTGAGAAATTATTGTACTAAAGAGCACAGAGAACAAGATGGAATTGGTGGTAGGTGCTTCAGAAGCTACCATGAAATCTCTCCTGGGCAAGCTGGGTGGCCTTCTTGCCCAGGAGTATACTCTGATCAGGGGGGTTCGTCGTGACATCCAGTACATCACCGATGAGCTTTCCAGTATGCAGGCCTTCCTTCGTGACCTTAGCAGTGCACCCGATGGCCAAGACAGCCGGATGAAGGACTGGATGAAGCAAATCCGTGACATCGCCTACGACTGTGAAGACTGCATAGATAACTTTGCTCACCGCCTCCCTGATGATTCCTTCAGTGATGTCAGGTGTTCCTTCATAGCCCTAAGAATAAATGAAATCTTGTCATGGTGGCCACGCCGTGCAATTGCTTCCAATATTGCAGACCTCAAGGTACGGGCGCAACAAATTGCTGAAAGACGCAGTAGATACGGAGTGAACAACCCAAGCAATGCCAATGGCAGCAGCTCTGGAGCTCGTGCTGCTACATATGACATTGCTGAGCATCAGCTTGCTAGCCGTCAGCTGATCGGTATGAAGGATCCTGTGGGGTTGATGACTGACATGGAGAGTCTTGAGAAGTGGGTAAACAAACCTGATGCAGGGCGGGCAGTTCTGTCCATTGTCGGATTTGGGGGTGTGGGGAAGACCACTATTGCCACAGCACTGTACCGCAAAGTCAGTAATATATTTGACTGCCGGGCATTTGTTACTGTGTCCCAGAATTATGACCAGGATGCAGTCCTCAAGAGTATGCTGAATCAAGTCATGCCACAGGACAGAGGTCATGAGCAGCATGGCACTGGGATAGAAAACTTGGAGGAGAAGAACCTAGCCGCACAGATTAGAAGCAGATTGAAGCGAACTGTGCCACTGACCAGAGTCTACAGTCTGCAAGGCAATTACAGGAGTTCTGAGACCAAGCAAATCAGGCCAGAAACAATGGACCATGATCAACTTGTTGAAGAACTGAAAAGGCGCCTGACTGAAAAGAGGTATACTAGAATTATTTCATTGCTTATTTGATAACTGATTACATGATCCTTCACAATTGCCATTGAAGTGGAATTTCTGATCACTTTTGTTATCTGTCTGCTGGTTTAGTCAATGCTGGCTATACAGTTAAGTAAATACTTGATACAGTACCATGCTTATAGTTAAGTAAATACATGATACAGTAGCAGGCTTATCTTGCTAGTAGGCATGCAGTAGGTAGTAGGTGGATCTAGCAACAGGAGACTAAAATAGGCACCATGCCTGGCAGTTATACAACTGCCCCTCTGTATGTGTATATATGCAATAGAGGAAGTCAATTTCTCAGAATTTATGTGTGTGAGCCTTCTACCTCCATTGCTAACAGTCATGTACTAAGATGACAATTACTTATTCCTTTTTTTTCATGATTATTGTTTGTATTCCTGTACCTTATACAAACATGGTACCACCACTTGACATTATTAGTTGTATAATGGATAAATGCATTTAAAGTGGAATCATCTTCATAATTTTTGCTTTATAAGGAAACTTGGATTAGTCTGTTTTTTTCTCATATTCATTTTCTCTTTTTCTTTATAGGTATCTCCTCTTAATTGACGATATATGGTCTGCAAAAACATGGGAGAGTATCAGGATTTGTTTGCCAGAAAATAATAAAGGCAGTAGAATAATAGTGACAACAAGATTTCAGGCTGTTGGTGCGACGTGCTCGCAAAGAGACGGAATTGATCTTCTGCATACAGTTGATTTTCTCAATGTTGATGACTCGAAGAGGTTGTTTGATCAAAGTGTTTCTGAATCCCGAAGCAACAGACATGGCGAGAAAGTGGAGGACCAAGTCCCTGAGGAGATATGGAAAATATGTGGGGGGTTGCCTCTGGCCATAGTCACCATTGCTGGTCTTGTCGCTTGCAATCCAAGTAAGAGTGAAGTTTGTAAATCACTATTTCCTGCAGTAGATCGTCTTACTCTGGATGGTGTTTCGAGGATACTTGATTGTTGCTACAATGATTTGCCTGGAGATCTCAAGACCTGCACATTGTATTTGAGCATATTTCCAAAGGGTTGGAAAATTAGCAGGAAGCGTTTGACCCGACGATGGATAGCTGAAGGTTTTGTTAGTGAGAAGCAAGGTTTGACGGAGGAGGAAGTTGCAGAAACCTACTTTAATCAGCTCATGAGAAGGAAGATAATACGCCCTGTGGAGCACTGCAGCGATGGGAAGGTAAAAACCTTTCAAGTTCATGACATGGTTCTTGAATACATCGTATCCAAGTCAAGTGAAGAGAATTTTATTACTGTTGTTGGTGGCCACTGGATGATGCCAGCACCTAGAAATAAAGTCCGTAGGCTATCCATGCAGAGCAGTGGTTCCAAGCATGGAACTTCAACCAAAGGCATAAACTTGTGTCAGGTGAGGTCACTGACTGTTTTTGGGGGTCTGAACCAACTGCCTTTCCGTTCATTCAACAATGGAATAATACAAGTGCTTGATCTTGAGGGCTGGAAGGGTTTGAAAGAAAAACATTTGAATGACATATGTAAGATGCTAGTACTGAAGTATTTAAGCCTACGGCAAACGGAGATTGCTAAAATTCCCTCAAATATTGGGAAGCTCGAGTATTTAGAAACTCTGGACATAAGGGAGACGAATGTTGGAGAGCTGCCTAGATCTGTAGGACAGCTTAAACGGATTAGCAGCATACTTGGTGGGAATAAGAACCCACAGAAGGGGTTGAGGCTGCCTCAGGAGAAAGGTAAGGACCCAAGAAAAAGTATGTTGCCACAGGAGAAAAGAAAGGACGGAATGAAAGCACTCCGTGTACTGTCTGGGATTGAGATTGTTGGGGAATCAACAGCTGTAGCAGGCCTTCATCAGTTGACGGGGCTAAGGAAGCTTGCTATTTACAAACTTAGCATACAGAAGGACGGTGACACTTTCAAAGAACTACGATCATCTATTGAGTACCTTTGTAGTTGTGGTCTGCAGATTCTTGCAATCAACGACGAGAGCTCAGATTTTATCAACTCATTGGACTCCATGTCTTCACCTCCAATATACCTCATCGCCCTTGAGCTATCTGGAAAGTTGGAAAGGCCCCCGCAGTGGATCTCAAAGCTCCACTCTCTCAATAAGTTAACCCTATCTGTGACAGTTCTCCGGACTGATAGTCTAGAGCTCCTCCGCACTCTATCTTCGTTGTTTTCTCTTACCTTTTCACTGAGTGCAGCAAAACAGGATCAGGAGATAGAGGACATTCTTGAGAAGAATAAGGCACAATCGGATGGAGAAATCTTTATTCCATTCGGATTCCCGAGCCTTAAGTTGCTTCGCTTATTCACACCTCTTGTACCAAAGATGGGCTTTTCTGAAAATGCAATGCCAGCACTTGAGATTATTGAGATGCGATTTGAAGCCTTTGAAGGTCTACTTGGCATTGACACCCTTGAAAAACTCCAAGAGGTGCATCTCAGAGTTAATGATCAAACAGACGAAATAACCGAGCTCCTAGTAGAGGATTTGAAGAATAACAGCAATGGACTGAAGGTAATTGTTGATCATATCGTCACGGCTTGAAAAGGCAACATAAAAACTGCTATATGAGATCATTCCCCATCCCCTCGTGCCAGAATTGTTAGATATGAGCTAGAAGAACAACTGGATATAAAACTGCTACAGGAGGGGACAGGACACTGTACAGCAAAGAAAACAATGGGAACATGAGGACTGGCATGTAAACACGTACCTGCTCAAATGTTACCTGAATTATTTCATGAGATCACTCATCTGATCATCACTCTGGTGCACGAAACTAGCTAGCAGATGAGATAGAAACTTAAACATCAACTACCATTGTGGATGAAGACAGCTGAGGGAAGAAGTCCATGAAACTAGCAGATGAGATAGCAACTTAAGCTTGGTATTCATGATTTTGTAAAAAAAGAATCCCTGCATGCATACCATTTATTGACATGATCAACGAAGCAACATACAATCAGAGGATACATTAGCTGTTATTCTCAAAGTTTTCAGTGTTTTAGGGCATTTTTGGTTTTAAGCCCTCGCATTCCAAGCTTAATTTTGGTCATGCCAAATAACTTAGACCATCATTTGGTCGAAGGCCAAATATTGGCTAGGCCAAGACAAATTTGCCATATGCCCAATTATTGTCCGTTCTTTTTTACATGTCACACTAGGTTTGTCTTAAATCAAACATTACTATCTTTGAGCATCCATTTTACAAAATCCTTATAGTTATATAACATATGACTTATACACTACGAAAGTATTTTTCATAGTGAATCTAAAAACATAAATCTTATGTCATCAACCTACATAAATCTTTTGAAGATGGTCGAAGATATAAATGTTTGACTAAGGACAAACCTAATACGACATGCAAATAAGAAGGGACGGAGTATTTGCTTCACTGAACTTTGGTCATTTCTGGGCGCTCGTATCGTTGGCCCGAGCTGCTCAGCGGCCAAAATGCATACCAGCCTGACGTGGCAGAATTAAGGAGGTTGGTGCTGGCGTGCTGCCTGTAGCATTTATTGCTTGGTTTAAACTTCAATTGATTGTACCAGCCAAACTATAATTCCAATTTATTTATAAACCGGTTTTACAGTAGTAATTGCAATTACATAATAGATTAAGATCCATATTACATATCATTAGTCATTAAATTGTTCTTGATGTATGGGACCCACGTGTCATGCTCTTATACAATACCCCATTTGTCTAGAATATGATGGGAATGTGGCCACAAGCATACGCCTTGTAGGAACACGGAGCATACAGAGGGCTGGACCTCCTGATTCTAGGTCCAGTGCCTCTGTGCTGGACGGGTGGGGTGGGGGGACAAATATCATACGTATAAAATTATATTTTTGTGCACAATGGTGCATCGACAAATATTTGTACTCATGGAGTTTTGGAGTGAAATTAACACTAGACCGGCCAGCACAATGACAAAAAAAAAGGACACATTCATTATTGCAGTCTGATCCAATAGATCATGGATGTATTGCATGCAAGAGCCAAGATTACATTCATGAAGTGAGTAACCGTCTTTAGTGTCCACTTATTAAATACTGCTGAACCAAGAAATCCATGATCCATCTACTGCCACAATCAACTAAACCAACATGGCTGGTGACGATATGGTCGGAATAATCATGGGCAATGCATAAACGAGCAGCAGCACTCTACAGGGTTAAGATGTCTCTCGCAAAGAGCTTTGACTATATGTTGCTTGCGCTGAGCAGCCTTCGCTCTGCACTCAGTGAGGCACGCTCCGTCGCCCTCGTCCTTGCATTCTCCATGTACTGGGTCGCATAACGTCTCAACTGCATGCACATAAAATTCACAGAGCTTAGGTGGTGTTTAGTTGGACCTCCTAAATTTTAGTCGTTGTCCCATCGAATGTTTGGACACATGCATGGAGTATTAAATATAGACTAATTATGAAACTAATTACATAGTTTGCGACTAATTTGCGAGACGAATCTTTTAAGACTAATTAGGCCATGATTTGACAATGTTTTGCTACAGTAAACATGTGCTAATGACGTGTTAATTAGGCTTAAAAAATTCGTCTCGTGGAGTACTGACGGATTATGTAATTTATTTTTTATTAGTATCCAAACACCCCATACAACATTCTCCCGACACACCTCCTAAATTTTAGTCGTTGGATCCAAACACCACCTTAGTTACTAAACCATAACGTCTCAACTGCATGCACATGGTAATTCAAAAGAAGATAGATGCGCACTTTAATGTAATACGGCGAGAGTAGATGACATCATCAGAAGAACAATGCAAAGAGAAGCGCACACGGCCTTCATTGTGTTGGTCTTAACGAGTGGCATGATCACAAGGATATATTGTTGTTATTTCTGTAGCTCTTCCTTTTTGTCATCCTTTTTGCTCTGCTAGATCAAGGTTATATAGAGGTAGAGACACATCTTAGGTATAAATTTCTCATTAAATGTATGGTATCCTGTAGCACTATCAAATAAATATGAACACATCCAATTCTAATGATATGGTATAGAAGGATTTGATTTACTCATTTATTGCAGGATTGAAATCAGGTGCCCATTGTGACTTAATATAAGAAAATTTTAACTGCTTCATTATTTCTACACAATACTTATTTGAATTGTGCGGGCAGCAGCAATCACTTCAGTATGCTTTCATGTAACTAGTCTGTGAGTATAATAAGAATTGATACCTCCAACAACTAAATTAAAAATATTCAAGAGGCGCCTCATTTTTCTTAGAGCTGGTAATATGAAACGCCTCTAGAAATAATCACGAGTTAGTTTAGAGATGGTCAGTGATATAAACCACTCCTACAAATAGGCAGTTAACTTTGAGGAGTAGGTCGTATTTGAAAATGCCTGGGTGGGTCACTCATAATTCAAATGGAGGTGTGCTTTCTATAACCATTCACAATCTTATCCTTTTCACGGTCTTATAGCAACTCTAAAAGACGAATATTCATTGTTTCACTAATTGTCTCCTTGTTTCAATCTCACTTCATGATCATTTTCATTATGTTTAACTACAAGCATACCCCGTGTGTTGCCACATGAATTATAGATGAATTAGAATGAAATTAGACTAAATTGCTTATATTAAGGAATAAACTATTATAAATTAATTATAGTGGATGGTGTGGGACACTAATGACGACAACTAAATGCATGTGCTAGTGGACTGCTTGCATGTAGATATAGATTCACTACAACATAAGCTCACTACTACAAAAATGATGCTCGTCATATTCTTTTTGTGCGATTGCCTTTTGAATCGCCCCGTACATCGAGACGCCGCACTCCAAGCTCGATGGCGATCTGCAAGCCGTTGACGAGGGCTTCGTACTCGGCTGCGTTGTTGGAGGCGGCGAAGTGGAGCCAAATCATGTAGCGCATATGCACTCCGAGGGGAAAGATGAAGGGCAGACCCGCGCCTGCCCCGGTCTTCATCAGGGACCCGTCAAAGTACATGGGCCAGCATTCCGCCTGGATTTGAGCAGGTGGCAGTTGGGTGTCGGTCCACTCAGCCACAAAATCGGCCAAGGCCTGAGATTTAATTGCTTTCCGAGACGCAAAAGACAGGGCTTCCCCCATGAGTTCAACGGCCCACTTGGCTATTCTACCTGAGGCCTCTCGGTTCTGGATTATCTCTCCCAGAGGGAAAGATGACACCACGGTCACCGGGTGGGATTCAAAGTAGTGACGCAGCTTGCGCTGAGCCAAGACTATGGCGTAGATCAGTTTCTGGATGTGGGGGTAGCATGTCTTAGTTTCAGAGAGTACCTCGCTGATGAAGTAAACAAGTCGTTGGACGGGTAGAGCGTGCCCCTCTTCCTACCTCTCGACTACTACGGCCGCGCTGACCACTTGGGTCGTTGCGGCGACATAGAGTAAGAGGGCCTCGCCCTTGGTTGGCGGTACCAGGACGGGAGGGTTGGTGAGCAGTGCCTTGAGCTTGGTGAGGACTTCTTCGGCCTCGGGGGTCCAAGAAAAGCGTTTGGATTTTCTTAAGAGACGGTACAAGGTAAACCTTTTTCGCTAAGGCACGAGATGAAGCAGCTCAAGGCCGCAAGGCATCCCATAACTCTTTGTACTCCCTTGAGGTCTCGGATTGGCCCCATGTTGGTCACGGCCGAGACGTTCTCTGGGTTGGCCTCGATGCCGCGTTCTGAGACTATGAACCCCAAGAGCATGCCTCGGGGGACCCCGAAGACACACTTCTCGGGATTAAGCTTAATGCCCTTCTCTCTGAGGCATTTGAAGGCTACTTCCAAGTCATCGACGAGGTCACTGGCCTTCCTAGACTTGACCACGATGTCGTCCACATAGGCCTCGACGGTTCGCCCGATGTGCTCGCCAAAGACCTGGGTCATGCACCACTGGTACGTGGCCCCTGCGTTTCTAAGACCGAATGGCATAGTCACATAGCAGTACATGCCGAATGGGGTGATGAAAGAAGTCGTGAGCTGGTCGGACTCTTTCATCTTGATTTGATGGTAATCGGAATACGCATCAAGGAAAGATAGGGTCTCGCATCCTGCAGTGGAGTCAACGATTTGGTTGATTCGAGGCAATGGAAATGGAACCTTTGCACATGCTTTATTTAAACCGGTGTAGTCCACACACATCCTCCACTTTCCATTTTTCTTCTTAACTAATACAGGATTAGCTAACCACTCTGGATGGGACACTTCCTTGATGAATCTGGCCACCAAAAGTTTCTACACTTCCTCGCCGATGGCCTTGCGCTTCTCCTCGTCGAATCGGCGTAGGCACTGCTTCACCGGTCTGGAGCCAGCCCGGATGTCCAAGGCGTGCTCGGCGACCTCCCTCGGTATGCCTGGCATGTCCGAGGGACTCCATACGAATATATCGGAATTCGCGTGGAGAAAGTCGACGAGCACGACTTCCTATTTGCTATCAAGGGTGGCGCTGACCCTCAGCGCTCAGTCATTGGAGCAGGTGGGATCAACCGGGACGAGCTTGACGGCCTCTATGGGCTCGAAAGTCCCGGCACGACGCTTGGAGTCG